TCAGTGCAACAGGACGCTAAAATATAACATTACCAGGAATCTTCCGGGGGCGGGGGGTGAAGGGTGGACGGCGCGTAAGGCTGAAAACCTCACCGACATGTGCGCCAACTGTCTAGAAAATGTGGGAGCCTCGACGTCTCACAACCCTGTGGGCCTCCAAGGCCTTTTAAAGGGACAGCTTTACTTTTAAGTTAAATTCAATTAACATATTTAAAACTTGGGGCCCTGCATTTAGTGACTACGTGTCCAGACACGCTGTACCTACACGGCAATCGTATGAATCGTGCCAGAGATCACTTCAGCTGCGCCCTGTTGGCGCAATTGTGTGGGCCAACCATCCAGTCGGCATTCCGGCGCACTCTAGGGGTCCATTCCAAACCCAGAACCACAAAAACATATGGGTTCATACATAATTTATAATTATTATAATAGATTTACGCAACAAACAATAGATGGAGGCGATTAGATTAAACGAAGTCTCCAATTCGTAGTTTAAATGACAAAGGACTGCTGTAAGGATTAACTCTCACTGTTTTGTTCAGGCACTGGAAGCCGTTGTTTCTGTAGTTGGATACTGGGAGCATAGGCAGTGTACCAGGAATTACAAACTAATCCTACAGTAATGTGGTATCCAGTAGTGATCCGCCAGGTACAGGTTCGTGACCAGTGTGAGTAACGGATACTAGACGTAATAACTTGTTATATAATGACGGTTTCCAACTTGCACTGGCAACGTCATGTTCAGGAGCACTGCAAGAGAAGGAAAATATTATAAGCCAGTCGCCTACACAGTCTAGGGTCACCCGTCCCACAAGCGCTGCTCAGCACAACTACTGTTTCGTATTTTGGAGGTAAGGAATTCGGCCCTTGAGACCGGCTCCGACAGGTGTTTCATTATGTATAAATTTAACGTTCTGTATGGGTGTGAAACTTGGTCTCCGACTCTGATGCAAGGACACAAAGAGTTTATGGGCTCAGGAGAATGCTCAAACGTAAATGTATTCCCCAAGCATCCGACCTCGAAGGCGTATGGAGAGAAGTCCATATATTCGTTACGTCAGCACGACTTATTCAAATGTGTGGTCATACACACTTTGGCCGTCTTAACCCTACCCATTAGATAGGAAGCCTAGTGAACCACAGAGATGGTTTGAATGTGGTTCCAAAGGACAAATTCCTGACTTTCCCAGCCGCTTAGGCCGTGGCCAATTACTTTACTGAGCGCTCCCCGTCTCCTTTTCAGGGCTAATCCGATAATGAAAAGATTTTCGCAGTAAGGACCGGTACTATGTGTTATACGCTCGGATGGTGACACATTTACTTATTTATGGTTCATCTGACGGGGCTGTCATCATCTCAGATACAGTGCCGAATGCCAAGATGACTGGTGAACTGGAAGGGATGCGTAAGGAAACAGTCGCGGCTTTGTTAAGGTACTTACTATCTCGGCATAGCGGCCTCCGTAGTCTACAGGTAAGGTTCCCACCTCATGAATCGTGGTACGCGGGTTCAAACCCGGCGGAGGTCGTGGAATTTTTAAGGGCGGAAAAATTCAGGGAACAAGTCCTCCGGGAGGGACTTTAAGCAGTGGGTCCCGTGTCGTAGCTTTACGGCACGTAAAAGAACCTCATATCTCCTAAGGAGGTCACTGAGCCAAATTCAAGGACATTTCCCGCCCAACAGTAGTCTCTAACACCTCTGATAGATGGGGGAAGCATATAGATACCGAAAAGCCAGTAGAGCCAGAACTCGCTGGCTCGGTCGGGACTGATGGTACGCACCAATATCGGTAGGGTACAGAGACTGGTAGAATATCATAGAGGGAAGCACAATGGACCAATACTGGTCTGAGTGCATGGGGAAACCCACCCTCTCCAATAACTAACTAACTAACTACTATCTCGGCATTTGTATGGAGAGACTAAGTAAAACCACGAAAACCCTCCGCTCTCGGCCTATATTCTAAATGGACACATCTAGAATACACAAGTCAGAAGCTCTACCACTTCAGCCAACTTGCCTGTTTTCGTGATTAAATCAAGGAGGGTGACATGCAGTACTGGCAGGAAAAATAAACGCAAAGAAACCACCCTGCACGGGCCCTACAGAAAACACAGCCTGTATTGTTGACGAAGCCTGTTTACGGCCCCTTTGCCTATCAACAAACGTCCTATTATTGCGGGAATGTCTTTGCCGACCCGTTGCCTAGCAATGGATATATACCTGAATTACGCAATCCAATTTTAAATGTCGCGGGGATTACCGGGGGATGCGATTTATTAGTATGAACGGAACGTTGTCTTAACTACGTAAACACGCGAGGAGCCTAGGCAGAGCACACTGCAAGAATGCTGTTCTTATCAACGGTGACAGTTTGGAGGAAACATGGATGTGGAATTCTGACACATCGACAAATCTCGGCTCTTGTACGGATCTAACTAGGGGTCCATTTAACTCGAAACGAATCTAAAGGACAACCGTTAAAAACCATGCTAAAATATTCTAACTATTTTAATAACATTCCTGTTATCCCATCCAACAGGTGGGTCACTTCCATATATGCTGCGCAGATAATATTATGTTAGGTCACCAAAGGCGTTTTATTGCTTAGTTTTCTTTTATTTGCGTTCATTTGTCTGGTCTTAAAAATAAACTGGCAGGTCTTTACATAATGATCTTTGGCCGGGTGGTATGTTTCTTGTTTTGTATTTCGGACGAACTTGAATTTCAGTCTTTGTCTTGTACAGGATTCTTGTGAACGGAAAAAGTGGTTTGGCTCTGTCCGTTGGAATCTCTCGGCTTTGCTACAACAGTAAAATTCCCAGATCATGACGGCGTCTGAGCTACAGCTCTCAATACTACAGACGTTTGTGTTAGCTGGAAGTGCATGGCGAGCTTCACGCTCCTGTTGCTTTACTCCTGGGGGAAAGATCCCACGGTTCCCACAGATAAGATGCTGCGTAGGCTTCAGGGGGTCTGCATGTGCTGAAGACACCTGTACGTACCAAGAATCGATCTCTGGTCGCCCTACACAATGAGGAGCTTCATAACTTGTAACATCCGCCAAACATAATTAGAATCACATCAAGGAGGATGAGATGGGCCGCGATTGCTGCACGTATACAGACGAATTCATACAGAATTTTTGTTGAAAAACCCAGAAAAGATCACTAGGACGACTTACATGTAGGTGGGAAGATAATATTAAAATTGGTGTAACAGAAAGAGGGTTGGATGTATGGACTGGATTAATGTGACTCAGGATAGGGTTCTTGTGAACAAGCAATGAACCTTTTGATTCCGTAAAATGTTGCATAATTCTTGAGTAACTCACCGAATGGAATATTCAGCTCTATGTAGTTGGTTAGGCCTATATACGTAATATTACATTGCATTTTGCTTGCGAAATAGTTGGAAAGGGATCTCTGGGACACAATATGTTGTCCACTAGAATATGAAATATTAGAAACAAGTCACAGCCCAGCCAAAATGCTGGATCAGAGGTGAAGCCTTAACTAAGAATCGAAGCTTTGATTACGTGCAAGAAGAGCTATATGCCAACGGTCCAGTGACAAGAAGACTGAACAGAACATGGCCACAAGACATCATCAATCAATGAAATAGACTACATGTAGGAGAAACATCACTGGACGTTTNGTGGAGCGCTGACAGGCAGGGGAAACCCTCAAAATACTCGTAAACTTTGACCAAGCTCCACTTCTCCCACCATAAATCCCCGTAATTGAACTCCAGTCACCGCGGTGGAGAGTCGGCGTCTAACTGCCTAATCCAGGGGTTCTCAGACTATCCGGTTACCATGACGCCCTGAAATAATACAACAATTTACGTGACCCCCACCCCATGATACTGATTCGTTGAGATTAATGAAAGAAACATCCAGTACATTTACCTTTAGCGGTGTCTGCAGACTGCACTATACAATCTCGCCCAACTGGGCATGGACACATTCTTTGATAGCACGGGCACCCCCTTTACAATGGGGTCGCGACCCACAGTTTAATAAATCATGGCCTAAGCTATGGCACGGCCAGTAAGGGTTCACGAGAGATGACTCTGTGACGTGTGCTCAGCGATCACGTGATGACCACGGAGGGCAGATATACGTACACTTTCACTGTCAACGTGACGATAACATTTCGGTTTAAACGTTTAAATCATGATAACTTATTTTAAGCCGTCGGCATTTGAAAACATAATTATTCGTTTATGTATTTCATTTGCTTATGCATAAAATTCATTATGAATGACAAGAGTACGGTCGCGAGTTGTATAAGTATAAAATATGTGTACTGCTTAGAAGCATTACTGAGTGTGTTAACCTCCCTGCATTCCAAGCCCGTCCAATCATTTATTCTTAATGGACACAGGCGTATCCAGACAGCTTCGTAGTGTTTTACACGAGCGTGAAGATTGGTTTTTATTCGAGTAAAACAGCTCTTCGAGGTGCCTGAGACCAAACATTACGCAAAGTATCTATCTGGCCTTATGGGAACTGAAGTAAAAACTAACGAGAAAACTACAATACGAGGAATCTCACATATGTATTCTCCGTCCATCCGTCCGTCCGTAATGGCTCTACAGCCATTTGTTGGACCTTGGCAGATTTTTTAGTTCCTTGATCTTTGACGCAGTCGGTGACTCCTTGGACGGGGGATAAACCCATCGCAAGGCCGCTACCGGCACACAGGACAGCACAAACATCCATGCCTCAAGTAAGATTCGAACCCGCGATCCCAGTGATTGAGCGGGTGAAAGAAATTCATGCCTTGGACCACGCGGCCACTGTGATCGGCTCTTAAACGATTTAGTACCTAAATATATGTCCTGCCCCACTTCTTTCATAGCTCAATATTCTCATTTAACAGTATAAAACTTCATCAGCTGACTGGGAATAATTAAGAGGTGGAAGAGATAACTGAAGTAAAGTCAGCCATGTTCTCTATCCAAGTCATACAACTTTGTGTAAAACCTCTCGGCAGGTCACGCCTGAAGGAAAGTGCCCGACGGGAAAGCCCCGCTTCTCCAACAATGGCTAGGTCAAGGCGAAGAAGACAAGAAAACAAACGTAGGTACAAGAATACAGTTCATAATTCCTGCTTCCAATTCATTAAATAGTTCTCACTGGGCGTGAGGAGGTGGCCAGAAATTGGAAATTCATTGCGGCAAGATTTATTACACTAAGTCCTCAATATTGGAAGCCCCAGTAGAATTTAACAGTAATTTACACGTAATTAATTTAACAGTACCATTATTCGTGTTTCTTACGTTGACTTGACAGAGGAACTGTACTGCTTGTTTAGCTTATGATGATCTGTAAACTTGGTTTCGAGAAAGCTCGTTCTTAACAACACTGCATGAAATCGCTTCTGTCAAACAAAGACTGCCGTTACTACTTAGCCACGCTGGAAATATTTCGAGAATTATATGTGGTTTGACGATGACATAAGAAATATATGCGGTAAAGCTTCGTCTTTGATGCCTCCGAAACGACATCTCTCAAAATGCAGCTACTGGCAAGCAAAACAAATATACGGTGGTTTGTGTCCAAATTTTCCACACAGTAGGCTTTGAATCGTTTTTGTTGTTCCCACAAAATAGAACATAAGTAACTCTTGGGCAATGCTCACAATAAATGATTTTTCCACTTACTTACAACTGAAGTAAACATTGTGCCATACATATATTTATAATTCGGTCAAAGCCACACATTTCTCGACTTCTTCAGTTTCTGAAACTTCATGAAATCTAAACGAACGTTGAAAAGAAAGGGTTTCAGACATTATAAAGCGGACACCTAACAAAAACTTAACACCGACAGGAATTGCTGCCTCACTTGTTGTTGTTATTATTATTATTATTATTATTATTATTATTATTGGAGGGGGTGGGTTTCCCCATGCACCGTGACTAATAGTCTATTGTAAGTCCCCCTTTAATATTCTACCAGTCTCCATACCCTGCCGGTACTGGTGCTCGCTATCAGCCCCGTTCAGCCAGCGAGGCTGGCTGCGGTCCCGATGCTTACCCATCTACCGGAGGCATTGGAAACTACTTGGGCGGGAAACTTTTTACCTAATAATTTTGCTCAGAGGTCTCCTAGAGACATGAGGATCTTTTACGTGCCGTAAATCTACGACACGGGACCCACGGCTTAAAGTCCCTCCCGGAGGACTTGTTCCCTGAATTTTTCCGCCCTTATAAATTCCACGACCTCCGCCGGGTTTGAACCCGCGTACCTTGGGTGCCTCGCTTATTAAACGCCCAACTGTTGAGGTGTGTCTGTAAATAATTAAGAAATTTTTATCTATACTTTTAGGTGCAACGCTAAAATTGCTTCATAACATCTGATTTTGAACCCCTCAGCCTTAATAAAATTAAGCGCACCAGTCTATGGTAATTTATGTGAAGGGTTGAAATTTCTGAAAACACGGACACTAGTCTCTCCACATACACAAATATAAACAATAATGCTGCCTCAGATTAAGATGTTCTTACAGCGTCCGGCCATCTCGCACAACAGCATTTTGCAAACAATATTTCGCAAATCTGCTCACACCAGTTTTGTCACAATATCGGCCTGTGTGGGGGTTCCTTTATTAAACTATTAATGCTTCTTTTCTGTTATTCATATTCCATTACGCTTTGTTACGCGACGTGCTATTTCACAGTAGCCATTATTAGCCTCCACGCCATTTGTATTACTCCTTCCTAAACGCTTAATAACCTGTTACTTTGATTATGTAATGCGACGTATATTTAAAATTATATATATAAATGGAAAGCATAAAGGACACAATGGGAACAAGATTATGTTACTTCATCAGCGGTAGCTAACCTAGAAAGTACAGCGCCAACTTCGAACGAACGTATGAGCACGTTGGAGTATATACAAGAGCAAACATATATGAAGTCCCGTGTGAAATATCGTAGTTTGGAAGATAAAATTCGGGTGAACAGGTTATTATGAAAACTGAAGGCACCAAAGCCATGAAGTGACAAGGCCAAGGAGGAGGAGAAAGAGAAGACGACAAAGAAGAGGACGTGCAAGAAGAATAAGAAATCGTGAAGATATTGTCACATGTTAGTGAGCAGACACATGCTTGCATTGATAAATGGATTTATTGAACACTCATGATTCGTAACTACAAACATTCGCACTAATCACGTGGCGGATTCCTGTGCTTCCACCCTCACGGCTAACTTCCAGCTACGAGTGCAACTAAACTAAACTGAACGCAATGCTTCTACGCTACAAAAACCGGCAAGTTTACTTTAGTTTCGTGGGGTGGGGTAAGACTGAGTCCACTTGGTACGTCGGCCACTGTTTCGCCTATTGAACTAGCCCCGGATGACAGATGACGAATGTGGAACAGTCAGTGGAATGAGAATTGGCAGGGGAAACCAAAGTACTCGTAGAAAACCTGACCTAGTGCCACTCTGTCCACCACAAATCCCACGTGACATGACCTGGACTCGAACGCAGGAAGCCGCAACACCAAATACTTACTAGCATTTAGGAAACCAGTCGATATTCATTTCGGAAATCATATGAAACCCATAAATACATTCTGCGAGCAAAATACAGAGCTATTTTGTCAAATCACGTGATAAATAGTTGCCACTGTGCTTACTTACCTACTAACTCATGGAGCTGAGCTCATCTCGAGAAGCCGCCAATTCAGCAGCTACTCAAAAATTTCCCAGCATTTTATGGAACCCTAAGGTTCATTACCGTGTCCACAAGAGCCCTCCACTGGTCCCTATCTATCCAATCCATACCATCCCATCCTATTTCTCCAAGATCCATTCTAATATTGTCCACCCACCTACGCCTTGGTCTTCCCTGTGGTCTGTTTCCTTCCCGCTTTCCCACCACTTTTAGAGTTACACTCTTGCAGTTACTTAAGCCAGTCTTTCATAAACAAGACATCCTCCTGGAATGTTTTCAAATCCTTGTGACCCCGACGAACTGTCACCGACTTCTTTATCTAGCATATGAATTATCTCTGAACTTCTTTTCAAGCCATTTGTATCAATTAAAACGCCAATAAAAACCGAGACATTATCCATATGTCATTTCTTCTTTCGTCACGTGATGACAAAGCAGTAGACATTCTGGGAAACAAACAACCAAACTTAAACAAAAACCGAATGGAGTTAGTTTTCACTACTAAAAATAATTACAAAAACAGGGCAAAGTTAAGTCTTCAAGTGAAAGCATCCCCAGGCATCTGAAGAACTAAGACGTGAAGTTTATATAGACCTGAAGATCATCATCTGTCTTAAATTAAACCTAAACCAAATAAATTCTCCTGCTCTAAAGAAATGCGGTTTTGGGAACACATGTTCATTTCTAGCCACCCTCACAAGTTCTCCAGCACAAATCCTAAAGTGATATGCCTAATGTTGTAGTATCTTCACTGCGTGACAAAGGACATCAAAACAGCCATAATCACACGCAGAACTAGTCACATCACAAAGGCCTTCCTCAGACTGGCGAATCTGATTTTCAAAATTCGCGTAATACTAGTGTCACGAATATTAGCACGTCAAAGCAAACCCAAGGGTTAGAAAGTTGTCCTAATTTGACGTTTGACATTCTGCATACCTCGCGGCATCAATGAGATCCACTCACTGCTGACAAAAATCTACTGGAGCGGAAACAATCACACTACAACCACGACACTGCAAATGTATCCTCGTACTTCGTTACGTATTCAGAATAAGGAAACCATTTCTTTAAATTATAGGCCTATGCTGCAATTCACGTCGCTGGCTTCCCACCGCGGCGGCGCGGGTTCGATCCCTGGTCTGATCAAGTGGGATTTGTGGTGGACAAAGTGGCGCTGGGGCAGGTTTTCTCCGAGTACTTCGGTTTCCCCTGCCAATCTTCATTCCACCAATTGCTCCACAATCACCCTCACCTATCATCTTGGGCTGGTACAATAGGCCAGAAGTGGCCGCAGTACAAGGGACTTAGTCCCACCCCACTAGCAATATAAAAATTCTAAAACTCGACCGATACATTCTATTGTAGATCCCCCACCACCACCACCACCACCACCACCACCACCACCACCACCACCATCACCACCACCACCAAATTAGCCGAAATCTGTTCAGTGCCTCCAGAGGCAAAACATGCGAACCAAAAGGCAGGAACTCCTCATTATGCATTCGATGTATGCGCCCCCGGGATCGCAAGATATATTCTATGCCAAAATACACCAAACTGTAAACCAAGAGTCGTCCGTCGTTTTGAATGGGTGAGAAACTATCATTTTCAAACAAGAAGTCGCCTACTTCCCTTTGATACTTCGCGAAATGCACGGAGAGCTAGTCATAAAATTCTTGTATCGTCGCGTGTGTATTCGTTGCAGCGAAAACGTGTATGGCGAGCCACTGCCTAACGACAGGGGGGATACATATTTAACACACTTATACACAAAGACTGCAAGGTGATCTACAAAATAAGGGAAGCAGCTTTATTGTAAGAATCCTGTTGCGTGTCACACAGCGTCACGTCAACACAACGCTCCCCAGTCTCCACGTTCATACAATTTACTTAAAATATACAGTAAAACTTGGTTATAGCAACATCGGTTTCTGCGACACCTTGTCTATTGCGTCAAATATTCAATGGTACGAACTAATTCCTCATAAAGCAACTGTTTTTATACCTTGCTTAGTACGACATGCACAAATGCATCAACCTCGTATGTAACGTCATTTTCATTCCTGAATTTCTCTGATATCGTGGGAAAGTTCGATGTGTCTGCCCACCCTCACTTTCTCTACTTGCTGACGTGACTGTCCTGGAAGAATACGACCGCGGGCTGCAAGAGGAGCGTGGGTTTTATGCGAAAACAAGGGTGTGGGGTGGGACTGCGTGAATAGTGCAAGAGGACGCGGCAGGTTGTTAACTGCATTCCTTTCCTAGAATCTCGTCTAACAGGACCTCACATTGTCTACTTACCCTATAGTGTTCCTGCCTAAACCCAGAGAAGTGCAGTAGCGAAAACATGGCAATGAAAAGGAAAGTTTTAAGCATTGAAGAGAAAGTTA